CAGGAAGGGATGGAAGATGAATGAATGTGTTTAAGCTCTTGATGCGGTATTTTCTAAGGTAACCTTGGCTTGCCTAATGTTTGTGCAGACATATGCATGGTAGAGACTTTGCATAACAGAAACCCATGCGACTGTGGCAACATGCTGAGCGGTGCCCCTTGCGAGACTGGAGTCCTCTAATAGAAGATCTAAGATTTGAAAGATAGAATTTAAATTGGGCAATCATAGTAGAATTATAACCATCACTAAAAATACAATATATGTTGATACATGTCTTCAATGTTAGATTTCATTAAACAATAAGTTCTCTTATCCATTACCCTAGGGCATTTGCAATCTTAAGCAAATTAAGTTAAACTGGGGATTAACTACCAGAATTACAAATTTAAAGGGATTACATCCTCTATAAATTATCTTGCATGGAGATTTTAATTGCATATGTTCCCTAAATAATGAAATTTGGTAGAATGTCTGCTAAGACCCCAATGTGTGAATTTGTAGTCTGCTACAAATCTACAATACAGAATGAAATCAAAATCTTAACTTTAGTTGCTCCATCTTCCCTTGTCTGTACCACCAACAGAGCATGAACACTGCTGAAACACTGCAAGGTGGGAGTATTTACAGAGCAGTTAGTGTGAATACATCCACACCCAGCGCTCCTCTTCTGTTCCACCACAGCTTATGCAAAACGACTGTGAACATAACCAAAACTGATTTTTAAATGGTTCCTATGACCGTGTTAGATCCTGGGCACTGTCATTGGTATCTGTATTGCTCTAATATTTCAAGGTCTTTTCAAAAAGCCACTAGCCCATAATTAAATGTCTGTCTTAAGGAAGTAATTAAACGTTAGTTCTAAATTGAGTAAAGCTCACGCCTGACTCTGTTTTCTAGAAGGGCATTGTGGAGACTTATTAAAGAGACATTTTGAAGACTAGATTAAGATATTTATATAATCGTAGGGTCACATACAAAACTAATATCAAGGGCCTTTGTTTCAAAAAGCAGGATTGATTATCATTAGAGAGTAAACCTCCTCCACCCAGTCTCTATCTCGACTTTTGTCATGTGTTTTTTGTTTGTTTGTTTGTTTTCAAGACAGGGTTTCTCTGTGTAGCTTTAGTGCCTGAAGAAAGATGCTTAAAAGAAATCCCACACTAGCTCAGAATTGAGAAATAGAAGGTTATTTATTTAGGGGTAGTCTCACAAATCAGAATCCTCTGCTGGAATGGAGATCAGAAACCAAATCCTGCCGCTGGAAAAGAGACCGGACACATGCTCTACATCGGCATAAATAGTATAAGAGGCCACGCCCCAGTGGGAGGGTAACTACTGGCTGTAGGATTTCCTATTGCAAGTGCCTGTCTTGGAGCAAGCTCTTGTAGACCAGTCCGGCCTCGAACTTATAGAGATCCGCCTGCCTCTTCCTCCCGAGTGCTGGGATAAAAGGTGTGTGCCACCACCGCCCAGCTGGTAATGTAATTTTAAAAATAAAAACTATAAATTACATGACATGGAGCTTTGACCATGATAGTGCACAAGGCCCATTTCAAAGTGAATTGAGAACCTTTGAGTTTCAGCAGCAGGGCTGGGAGTGCGCAGTCAGTGTTTTGTAGCTCCTGCATGCATGGGATTTTCTGAGCAGAACTGTGGGAAGCCTGCACAAAATGTCTCAACTTTTATTAACCTTTGATACAGGCCTGCATATTCCGTGGGTGTTCATTTTAACTTATGAATGAGGGAGAACTGAAGGGGAATGGAATTGTCCCGTCTTTCCCTTTTCTTCCATGTTGGCTAACACAGCAAAAATGGGCATAAAGAGGTTCCTTCCTGGTTTGGGTTTCATTAAACACAACCTTATTTGCCACTGAAACAAGCTCTGGCTTGAGTGGACAATGTGTCACGTTGGGGCTGCCAGTAGCTCCCTTTATATCTCCTTTCTTAGACAGAGGCAAGATTTGCTGGTCCTCATCTAGCGTGTGTGGTACATGACTGTGTGTGTGCAGGCATGCTGGCCTGCGCACGTTCCTGTGGAAGCCAGAACTCTACCACCAGTATCTTCTACTACTTTACCCCTTAGTCTCTGAGACAGGGTCTCACGGAACCTGGAGTTTGCTGCACTAGGGATGCTTTATGCAAAGAGGGAAGTGGAAATCCATAGACAAGTGTTAGTATTTCTGGCTCTGTTGCTCCCATGCATACTCCACCCATCCCACAAGGCATAGTATTCCAAAGTTCAGTTCAAAGATCAAAGTACTAAAATTTTCAGGAGTTTGGCACAAGGACTTAGAAGGTTAATGTGATTTTCCCTAAGCCCTATGACCTGAGTTGGATCCTTGGGACCCAGATGGTGGAGAGAAAATGACTTCCACAAGGTTTCATTTGACCTTCACAGACATGCATATGCACCCACCCAACACAAACACAAACACCCACCCAAACACAAAAGAAGTTAAAAAAAAAAAAAAAAAAACAGAAAGAATTTCCGGATGGTGATAGGGTCTAAACCATCTGGGTGCATCTGTAAATGTTGCACCCCTGTGTAGCTGACCGTGTCTCAGTGATCTCACTGTTACACAATGTAATTGCAGAGAGTGTGCAGAATCACTGTGTCAATAGTTTATAAATTTATTAACAGTATTTTTTGCACACAGAAACCATGTATTACATGGTAGTTTATTGACACTTAAATTATTCTACAACCCTAATAATCTCACCCAATGGTGACTGTAGTCTTGTTATTGAATTTGGATTAAGCACTTGGTAAGGGAGTTTCAAATAAGCAAGATACACTTTCAAGCCCATAGGGCTCTGGGAAGGCTTGAATACACCTTATCTGTGATCATGAGGTCTTACGGTTGTGTGTTCATCAGGTCAGGAGGCAGCTATGCAGCAGACACAGCCCTGAGGTGAGTTCCGGGGACTGCTGGGGTTGCTTAGTAACCCATATGGCAGATTATAACAAATGGGGAGATGCTAGCCGTGTAAATGAGATTGGCTCCTTAAAACCTTGGGTAAGAAGGCCTCTTACAGCTTCTGCCATAGCTCAGGTCTACCTGAGCAAGTAGTGCTGAATTCTGGTTGACTACAGCAACTAAGTCAAATTTGATGAGTAAGAAGTCTCAGGTCTTAAAGTTTCTGAAGAAATACTGTGGTAATAACTCATCAACAGTTAGCCTAGTAAAACTGCTGATAGAACGCTGCTTTTCAGGTTCTAGTGCCAGGCTTCTTTAGCCCTATTCTTCAGGGAAAGGTGAGTGTGCTATCTGCCCCTTCCGCAGTCCCATGACACAGGACAATCAGATCCGCAGCCCCACGACTCAGAATAATCAGATGTGATAGGGAGTCAAGTCAAAGCAGGAACTCAGTTTATTACTGCAAGGTCAGCTTATAAAGGTTAAGTGACATCATGCGATTCAGGGGTGCCTCCAGCCAATGAGAGACAACCAAACACTGCTTCTGGCTTGAGGAGCATCTACCTAGATTTCACTATCTCATCCCCACTAGGTAGCTTTGAGTCTATCCTTCAAACTTGAGCCAGGATATTCTCTGTCCTACAGGCCTCAAGGTACAGGCCCAGAGACAATTTTGGCTCAACATCCTAGGTGCTGTTTGTTTATTTATATATGTTTTATCAGTCATCTTTGATACGGTAGTTTTTTTTTTTAAAAGGCCATGAGAGTCAAGTTCAGACAATCACTCCTCTGGTGGGTTGACATCTGAACATGAGTTGTCACCTGCTGTACCCTTCATGGCTCCTGACATCTCAATCCTTATCGGGTAATCTCACACCTCTTAGCTTTAATGTTGCTTCTCAGCCTTTTAGCTAAGATCAAGTATTGTATCTAATAGGGTTTAACACAATTTTACATGCATAATTTAAGGCCTAAATATTTTTAAGGATTGTCTCTGATATTTCAATGATAAGCTCTGGTGGATAACCCCATTCTTACCCATCTAGAGTTGCAAAATAGGATTCAGTGGAATTTAAAAGACATAAGATTGGGGATGGGCATGGGCTGAATCTAGGAGGTGTTAGGGGAAGAAGTAGGGACTAAATATTATTAAAATAAATTGTATGCATGTTTGAAATTTTCAAATAATTAATAAATATACTGTATCTGGCTGAAATGATGACTCAGAGGTTAAGAGCATCTGCTGCTCTTGCAGAGGACTGGGATTTGGTTCTTAGCACCCATGTGGCACCTCACAACCATTTATATCTACAGTTCCAGGAAATATGATGCCTTCTTTTGGCCTCTGAGGGCCCTAGAAAAGTATGTGGCGCATATATACACATGCAGGTGTGTGTGTGTGTGTGTGTGTGTGTGTGTGTGTGTGTAAATGAGCGTGTGGGTATAATATAAAATTGAGAAAGGCTTTCAAGTGGGTAACAGTAGATGTGTGGAAAGAAGGGACACAGGCAAAAGGACACATGAGTTATGAAAGATGACAAAAGCTTTTTTTTTTCCTAGTTTCAACCTGCAGGTTTTTTTTTTTTTCATTTTTAGTGCTAGATAAATGCATAAGGATGTACTGGGCAGTGAAAGAGTAAAGCTTTAAGCAAAGCCACACAGCATCAGAATGTCCATTCTGATGGCAGAGACATTCATTGAGATGCATAGGGTTTGGAACTGGGCAGGAATTTTGAGTGGTTTCCTTAAATGAACTGTGTGATGTTTTCATTTGTGAGTTAATGAGAATAAGGTGATTTTACTTAAAAAAGAAAAGTCTGTGTAGCATGTTATTAAAGACCTCATCCCCACCCAAGCCCATTTGGGTTTGAAAATATGGATCTAATTTTCATTTCTAAGACTTAATGGGCTTTTTAGAAAGTATTGATTCTCCAGTTCTTGGGTCTTCTCTTTCAGTGGTGCTGGGGTCAGAGAGAGTTTAACACCAGCAAATGCTCATTCAGGACATGGGTGTGCTAACTGCTGTGCTGGTTCTGAAGGAAAGGGCTTTGCTAAAAGATAATGTTGTTGTTGTTGTTTCAGATGCGGAGCCAAAGTATCTGATAGTCGTGCGACCTGCTCCTCCTCCCAGTCAGAAGAAGTCATGTTCAGGTACAGTCCTTGCTCTAGATGTTCTTGTGCTTGCCTAGGCACCATGCAATTTCATCTTCCGCTGCATGCTCGAGATGAAATGCTTTGGGAATGGCTTAGCAATGTGGGTATAGATGGTATCAGTCCAGAGTCTGCAACTTACCCTGTGGGACGATCAGCATAGCCTGGTCCTAGATACTACTCTAGGCATAAGTAGGCATTGCTGCTTCTTGTCACTGCCCACTCTGGGGTTTAGACAATTAACACGCTCTCTTCACCTTGGTTATTGTCAGGGGTAAGTGTCATTTTGGCTAGTTCTATTCTATAAAGGGTGGCCTCTTGCCCATTATTGGCCTTTCAGATTTTAAAGGCAAAGCTTTATGTCTAACCTTAGCTTAAGGAAACCATTTGTTTGAAAAGGATATCTCGTTTGTGTATATACTGTAGAGATTGGAGCTTTGGTTTTATTTACTCTGTGTCTTTCCCTTCTGGGCTACTCTCAGACCAGGAAGGCTGGAGACAGAAAATGGATAAAAGACATATGTAAAACTTCAACGTGACTGTGATAGTGTTACCAACTTGACAGGAGCTGAAATCACCTTGAAAACATCCTGACACACCTTTAGTGATTATTTGGTATCTGGGTGTGCCTGTGAGGGGTTATGTCAATTAGGATGATTGAGATGAAAATGCCTAACAATGGGCAGTATGATTCCCTGAGCTCCGGTCCTGGACCACATAAAAGGAAGAGACTAGCAGAGTGCATGAATCCTTTGGTCTCTGCTTCTTGGCTGTGGGTGTACCCCACCAGCTAGTTCAAGCTTCTGCTGTCTTGTTTTCTCTGCTATGAATGAATTACACTTAAATTGTGAGCCAAAATGAACCCTTCCTCCTTTAAATTGCTCTTGCTCAGGTATCTAACCTATCTAACCACAGCACAGGAATAAAACTAAAGACAAAAGATTAAAGCTTGCCATGTCTAATTTTAGGACAACATTTTGTCCTCCAACAGAGCCTCTTCCTTCCTGTGGACAGTATCGACCACAGAGTTTCGCTTTGCTTTCTTTCTCTAGTGTGAACTCCTCCACTCAATCATTCCCTAACCACATTTGACTTTTGAGTCACCCTCACTGTTATGCAGAGAAGCATCTCTGTGTGTGTTTGTTCTGCTTATCTGGAGGGATCAGATGGGAGGAACAGCATTTGATACTTCTACTACACAGAGCATAGGGGCCTTGGCTACTCCGAATTTGTTCCCAGTGTAGCAACACAGGGCTGGTCTTACTTTGACTTCCATTATTTCTTTTACAAGTAGCAATAAATGATCAAGAATCTTGAAGCAAAGGGGAAGACTTAGTTATCTCAAAACAGTGTTTTAAAATTTTGAACAATGTCAAATGTGACTGTTATATCTTAGAATCTGATTTTCTTTGGCTAATCACTGAACTGATTGTTCATGGAACCCTGATCATATAAATAAAAATTATAAAGAAAATTAGACCACTGAGGCTCTTGTAGCTTAAGTATTAATTTCTACCTTCATTTCATTTCAAGTTTTCTGACACTAGTCCTGGAAATTATTTCTCACTTCCTTATTCCTAGCTCAGGAAGCTGTGTCACCCTGTTCAGCATGTGACAGTCCACCTTTGCTCTCAGGCAGTGGATGTCATTTTTGTTTTGATATTCTGCATCTGGGAGAGAAGCAGTGACTGATGAATCACTTCCATTTGTTCTACATTCGCATCTGCCACGTAGATTATAATTAGATAATCTTGTTCATATTAAAACCACCAAGTTAGTGACATAATCATTTGATCATGCAAGTTTAGGATCCCTTGGGGAATGAAATATACATTTTGTCATCTCTAAGCTGCATTTTATGTCTACAAATATTGTGAGCAGAGCCAAGGATTCATTATAAAGGAAATTAGAAAATAATCAAGGAAACCAAAATCCCAAATATGAGTTTTTAACCTTGCATTCTATGTGACTTTGGACACCCTTGAGACTTTTCTTATCTTTATTGTTTATCTATAAAATATGCTGGTGCATTACATTCACGACAAGTCAACTCAGAAAGAGAAGAATAATATAATTACCTCAACGTTTGTTTCTAAGCTGTGTGTGCCCCCTACCTTCAGTCAAGTCTCTCATCTCCTCTCCTTGGAGGTCAAATGTAGACCACTCAAATCACCATCTGCAGGGCACAATGACAGATGCCTCTGAAAAGTTTATAGAGGAGAGCACATCAACTGTTATGATATCCATAAATGACTATAGACATCCTTAAGAGGTCAAATTCTCTAATTAAGTTTCTAGTGTTCTGTTACTATGTCAAATACCCAAGATAACCTTAGTTTTAGAAGTTTGATTCCATCACTTCTCAGCCTTTTGGCTGAGATCAAGTATAGAAGTTTGATTCTGTAATCACTGGATCCCATTCTTTAGGGCATTAATGCTCACCTTATGATCAGAATGCAAAACAAACAAACAAACAAAACAAGAAAGGGAAAGAGACTGGGATTCTACAGTCCTTTTAGGGCAGACCCCAAAGATCTAAACCTGCCCCATTATGGCTTACTTTTTGTAGTAACTCCCAGGAGCAGTATGATATGAAAACAAGCTTTCAGCATGGGGACACTCACTCAAGTCACAGAGCCATATGTAATAAAAAATTTCTGTTTATTTTTTAAAAGTTGAAGGTGTTGATACTTCACCATAAGGAAATGACAGTTGTTTAAGGATACAGATTTACTCTGCTTTGAACATTACACAGTGTATGCAAATTTTGAAAGCTACGGCACTCCATAAATAAGTCAACTGTATTAGAATGAGGCATTTTAGATCACTACATTGTGTAAATTTTGGATCCAGGGGCTTTCTTCCTGGAGTCATAATTGACAGAACTTAAAGAAACAGACATGGCAGTTTTCAAGAGTGTTTGATTAAAATAATCACCAGTATGCTCGCTTATGGGGTCCTGTCTTATACACTTTAATAAAGGTCCCAGGCACTGTGCTGTGTTGTTCCAAGCCCGTTAGACTGAGAAAACAGAAGTTCTTCCTACAATCAACACAAAATGCCCAGTCTCATGGAGTAAAGAGAGTGACGATGCAGTTTTATGAGACTTATTTTTCAAATCTGGATTTTATTTCCCTGGTTGAACCTGTATTCAAACTCCTTCCTTTTCCCGACTTTTCATTTCTATAGTTTCAAATAATTTTTGAAATTGAAATGCCTACCCCCACACTCTTACCCCCGTGAGTTTGAAAAGACTCTGTATTCATTCATCAGCATAACCTGTGGTATTTCTCACATACATGAGTCCCATCAGAACAACTGCACTTCCTGTGTGACCCCCACCTTGCAGTGTTATATAAAATGTGTGCAGCCTTCCATCTGTGGGCTTACTGTAAGCATATGCTTACTATAATGTTATAGCAAGGGGGGTTACACTTTAAAATTAGATTTTAAGAAATATGGCATACAACTTCCATAAAAATGTTACATTCTTTTTGGAGGATATTAATTCAGTCTAAAACAATAGTTCTCAACCTTGCTAATGTTGCAATCCTTTAATATAGTTCCACATGACGTGATGACCCCCAACCAGAAAATTATTCTTTTCGTACTTTATAACTGTAATTTTGCTACTGTTATGATTTGTAATATAAATATCTGAGAGTCAGGATACCTGACATGTGACCCCCAAAAGGCTCACGACCCACCAGGCTGAGAACCACGGATCTAAAAGGCACATTTTTATTTATCCATGGAAGAAATGAAACAAACCGAATGTGTATATACACAGAGATGTAAGTATGTGTATGGGAGCCAACACTTCCATAATGATGGACTCATAGGAAAACTAAAGCTAGATATGATTGCATGTGGTTTATATATATGCATATTCTTATAAACATGCACACACACATATATATACATATATAAACATACACACCCAAGAACAATAAAGCATTTCCTTTGATTCATGTTTAAACTCATGGTCAAAAAAATCTGTTTGTAGACTATATAAAAAGCTATGAACTTCTCAAAGAATTGATAAAAATGATATTATTTTTAAAACATTCTCATAAAGTCCAGAAAAGACTCAAAAATATCTTGACATAATAAAAGCTAAACCAAAAAGGAAAGGAATATCATCCAACCAAGTCTTCTTTGTGCATGCATTTTACTCAAAACATCAATCAAAAAGTACTGTGTCCTCACCATAGGACACCAAGGGACACCAAGGTGAATGAAGAGGTTGGGAGGGGGGGCAGGAAAGATGGAAGAGTGAATTGGGTTGTTTGTTTGTTTTGTTTTAAATTAGTTTTTTTTTTTTAAATTTTTCTTCTGGGGGGATGCTATGGGGGTGAGGAGCAGATATGGAGGGACTGAGATTGGGGTGCATGATGTGAAATTCCCCTCCCCAAAAAAATCAATAAAAAATTAAGTTAAAAAAAAAGATACAAGGCCGGGCGATGGTGGCGCACGCCTTTAATCCCAGCACTCGGGAGGCAGAGGCAGGCAGATCTCTGTGAGTTCGAGACCAGCCTGGTCTACAAGAGCTAGTTCCAGGACAGGCTCCAAAGCCACAGAGAAACCCTGTCTCGAAAAACCAAAAAAAAAAAAAAAAGATACAGTGTCTGGAATTAACCTTGTGCTGCCTCCACAGGGAAATCTCGCTCTCGAAAACCTCTCCAGCTTGTGGTTGGTACTTTGACACCAAGTTCAGTCTTCCTGTCCTGGGGTTTCCTCATCAATCCGCACCACGACTGGACATTACCAAGTCACTGTCCCAATGACAGGTAATTCCCCATAATGGAAATTATTTTTCATTACTTTTGATAATGTTGACACATGCTCAGAAAAATGTACAAATTTTGGACCCTTAGCATTTACTTATTACCTATTAGCTATATTGTTCTAGTTATGAAGAGTACATAGACACCTAGTACAGGGACCCTGCCATTGACAAAGCTACGATCTGAGTAGAAAACATATGTATGTATGTTTATCAGCAAAGGAGCAAACACAAGGGGGAGGAGCATATGCCAAATGGGAAATATCACAAAGAATGGGTGGTATCATGCAGAAAGCACAGATGAGTGAACTAAAGATATAAAGGACATATATATATA